TTCTGCGGTCGATAAATATCAGTCCTTACTACTCGATAATACTCGTATTTTGCGCACGCACTCCTTCGATCCTCGGGGACCCTCTGGCCTAGCTCAGCGCTGGTTATGGTCTCTCACTTACTTACTTACTTTGGAGATTTAACGTGCGCTTTCCGACTGATGCGTATTTCGTGGTCTCTCGTGATCTACGCCCTTATATCACTTGTTCAAAAAAGTGTGGGGGGGTGGGAGGTGTTTCGAGTTCTCAACTTATGACAAGCCGCAAAAACAGGCTTTATCATAATATATGGTCGACCACGCCCTGTCTCTAGCCTGCCTCACGATAAGGTTGGTTCCATTTATTGAACTCAATATTTTATTCTGTTGAATAATCAAATACGATGTATTTATTTACGCCTGTTGCTGACGGATGCCACTTCCTAGATTATCTTTGGGAGTCTGTCTTGATGCAATAAGTGCCCCAAGGAGGATTTAATCAGAAAGAGAATTTTACAAACCTGTAGAGGTTATGAATTCTCTGATGAAATCCTCCTTGGGGCACGGCCACCCACCTCCCCACATTCCGTCAGCATTTGACATATGGAAAGTGATTTGGGTGAGAGTTGCTCCCCCTGGCGTGAGGCGCCGTTGGGGGTGAGGCCCCGTAAGGGTGGTCGTATATCATACAAAAACGAAGTTTTTTGTGTGGTAACATTTTTTATTAAGGAAAATGGTTACAACTATGTCATATAGATTTTCTTGAGCAAGGAAAATGCAATAAGTGCCCCAAGGAGGATTTCATCAGAGAATTCATAACCTCTACAGGTTTGTAAAAACCTGCGGGTTTCCATCGAAACAGAGCGTCATGTGAACAGCGTCTGTATCAGATTCGACGACGACATCCACTTACAAAGAGTTTACTTCGTCGACATCGCAGACATCAACGCTGTTCTACCCTACCCTAGCGCCAGCGTCCCTGAGAGAGACTCTTCCTCGGCGCTCCCCGGGTTTTCCACGACGCCCATAGGGTTTCGTGTTTTATCGCAAAACTCGGGTACACCACTTGATCGTCTCTCACACAGTTCATTGAGGATTGTCTGTGTGTGGAGTTTGCACCTCAGTTCCGACTCCAAGGCGGTTTTCTCGGCTACTGCGCAGAGTGATTTACATGTCACGTGTCAAGTACTCGGACTGTCAACAACTCCGACCGGATTTAGGTCAACTTACCATGGCAAGGGGTGCCATGTATTTCTACAGATTGGTTTCCATGTCTACCTGTACGCTTGGTGATACCACTCAACCAGGCGCCTGTCGCAGTCCATCCATGCACGGATGTTGGAAACAATAGACCTCCTCTACCAACACGGCTGTCACGAGGAACCTTGTTTCATCAACCCTTCGCTATAAGAACGATAGCGCCTATAGGCGTTCAAGGGATGGAAAAGATCGCCTTCCTTCGTCCGGTTTGATCTTTTCGACTACGACAGGTAGTCCTATCTTCCGCCTTGACTACCGGACACAGTGTCGATTTGATACTTAAAGTCCCTCGGCCGTCCCACTGACCCCTGTTGCATACCTGCCTCGTATCGTGTTGTCGTCCTCCATCGTCACCTTGATATAAGAACAGGAGTACTTATACGCCGCTTCAGGGATGAAAACGATCTCATTACTTCGTGCAATGGCCATATTGCCTCGACTTCCTACTACCCGGTTACGTCGATGCCCCGGCGGTCGATTGTGAAGCTGGTTTACTTCGTCTACTTGAGGTTGGCTCGCAGGCGATCACACCTTTTTTCCGAATCGTACCGACGGTACGCAATCGCAGACCCCTGTTGCTGACTACCTCCCCTGCCACCTTGTCAGTGGCTAGTGGCCCACGCCAGCCCACATTGTGACCACCTGTGATCCAGAGATCAACACCATTGGCACAGCAACAGCCTCGAGATAAATGCTTATCCAGGACGGCACTTGCTGACAGTGCATTCTCGGTCACGCCCTGTTGATCGTGTCCACTGACGACGTCACCGTAGTGTGGTGTTTGCGGACCCAGAGTTCTCGCCCCTCTCCCGGCGCCACAAACTCGACCGGCGCCCCCGAGAATCACCATCTTCGGCGTTCCAGGCGCCTCAAGCTCTCCGACGCCTCACGCTCTCCGGCGCCTCGGGCCAGACTATGTGAAACGGTCGACACCCCAACCCTAGATCTGTTTGCCTCATATCTGAATGTGGCCAGCTGTCGTCTTCCATTCCACCTGTGCCGGATACGACCGCTGTGGCAGTCGAAGCCTTCCATCGTTCCTGAGAAGGATTACGCGCGTACGCTTTTCCGACTCCGGTTCTCCCTCCCACGGTTCTTCAGAGATCCAGGCCACTCGACCCCTGCCATTGACTTTGGTCTCGCCTTATTGGTCAGCCAGAAGTTGGGTTATCGACCTCCGAAACATAGCCAGAGACAACCCCTGGAACTTCCGGTGTGGTCCAACCTTCTGCTCCATCCACACGGTCTGTTGCCACACCCTCATACCCGCATGTTATCGTCTGCACGCCTGACACACATGCAGAAAGCCAAGGGCTATTCAGCTAGAGCGACCAAGGCTATTGCTTCAGCCCACCGTCCATCTACAGGGGGACTGTATGCTGATAACTGATGCTTGTTCCAGGCATTTTGTTCTGACAAACACCAGGATCCGATGACAGCGTCACCGCAGATCCTGGATCAGTTCCTTCTGTACTTGTGTAGCACCCATCGGTTGAAGGGCTTACCACCCCCACATACCTGGTCGCCATCTACTCCGTTCTGGCCATCCCGGACGATCGGAGAAAGACGAAAATTCCCGACCTACGGGCCTGGCTGCGCTCGTTCAGTCTTGAAGACCTGAAGACCAAGTTCGGACCGCCTGCGTTGGATCTGAATGTGGTCTTCAATACCCTTCGAACCACTCCCCTCGTCTTCCTTCTTCGACCTTAAGTAGAAGACGGGTGTTTCTACTGGTTTTGACTACTGCCGCTCGAGTCCATGTACAGCACGCCCTCGACGCCTCCCATGCCCGGTTCGAATGCGGTACCCAGGGCGCCGTTCATCATGGACCGTACTGGGACGTCAGCGTAAAGATTCAACTCCCAGGACAGCCTGATAGATCATTCCTTGTCCCCTCCCCCCTCGTCCAGTGTGGGTGCCGAGGATGAGGATGAGCGTCATTATGCCCAGTAAGGGCACTGAAGGTTATTCTACGATCTAAAGACTGCCGCAAGTCTAGGAAACACCTTTTTCTGCCGGTCTCCCCTTCGTCGCTGTCGTTGGTCAGCCGGAATACTTTTCCCTGTGGCTCCGGGCGGTCATCCTTAAAGCGTATGAGCCGCCGGATTGGACCCTCCCCCCAAAGGCTATTACCTGAAATAAAATGAGATCAGGGCGATCGTATTTACACTGGTTCTTCACGGTATACTGTTCCATCCCGTCGTTCAGGGAAGCCTGCTCGTGGCGATCGGACACCGCCTTCACCAACCACTACTTCCGTGATGTAGCCTTGAAAGTTGTCGCCGGCGTTCACAGTTTTGGTCCCTGGTTGTAGCCCAACAGGTCATCTATCTCCGACGCCACTGATTCTCCGATATCCTGAGCGGGGCCCGTCGACCTTTCTGGTGTTTATCACCCCAGACGAGACGGCTCTCTTGCGTTCCGCATTCGCTCTTAGGTCAGTTTTAGTTTTGGGTTACCCGACTCATTCTATTGCTGTCACCTATCCGGGTTTTACTTTTTGCATCAACTCTCGTTTCCTGACGACAGGAATGGTAGTAGATGTGGTCACCGGCGCCGACGCCGACGCCAACGCCGCTGCTTCTCTGGTACCTGAGCGGTGCCCGTCGACCTCACCGGTGTTCCTTGCCTCCAGCCTAGAGGGCTCTCCTGCGTTTCGCATTCGCTCTTGGGATTGGTCGTAGATTTTGCCGCCGACGCCGCTGATTCTTCGATTCCCCGAGCGGGGCCCGTCGAACTCTCTGGTGTTTATCACCTCAGATTAGCTCTAGGTTCTACTGCGTTTCGCTTTCGCTCTTCGGTAAGTTATATATTTTGGCTACACGCCTCATTGTATTTCGGTTACCTATTCGGGCGTTTCGTTTTTGCATCGACTCTTGTTTCCTGAAGACAGGAATGGTCGTAGATGTTCCGGTCATCACTTGTATGCGGTGCGGATTCATCGGACCTTGACGAGGGTTTAATATGGTTCACATCTGCAAGTATGCCCACCGGCCAAGCCGTCTGATAAAGATGCAATACGGAGTAATGCAGGATAAGTTAAAAAATTTAGTAAAATCTAAATATTTTTTACATTTGTATACTTATCCTGCATTACGAAGTCTAAGTTCCCTCCCTTTCGCTACGCTACCTCCCCACGAAGTTTCAGATGTTATGTTTAAAGCAGTTATGTCTTTTGGTGTGACGTCATGACTTCCGGGTCACGTGCCGACTGTGAGAGGGCGCTGCCTCCTGGGCTGGTTGGGACAACTTTCTTCAGCAGCTGGATCTCACACAGTTCGTCTCTCTGTCAAACATAGCAGTAAATGCAATACGGAGTAATGCAGGATAAGTATACAAATGTAAAAAATATTTAGATTTTACTAAAATCTTACAGGATAGTATTGGTAGGTGTAGCACCAGGCTGGGTTAACATAGCTGACAGATTGTTTCATGTGTCATATTGTTTTAGAAATAGTATACAAATTAAACATGATCCTATGTTTAGGATCCTAAATGTAACTCATTCCAGGGACAGATTAGCACCAGCTTGCTAGTCTAGTAGTTCAGACCTGTGTTTACAGGAAATCATGTAACAGCTATTGTTTTGATAGCTTACATAGAACTTTCCCGGTTAGGACATCTCCAGATTAACAATTGATCTAAACATCAACCTCTGATGTTATATTTGAATGATGTTGGATACAGCAAGTGCATCTAGGGTACTATTCTGTAAGGGTGTCATGTGTTATAGAGATAATCATGATGATGTAATTATTGCACAGATCGAGGATCTGAAGACCCAGCTGGATTCTGCACGAGGGAGGTCAGGGAAGGAAGGTAGCCTTGAGGACCAGATGCTCGGGAGGACGTCGGCACGGCGGAGGACGCAGGACGAGAAGTATAAGGAAGAGCTGCGGAAGGTTGAGAAGGACCGGAAAGAGGCCCAGGAGGTGGGTGTTCATGGATGTTGTTATTGTGGGGAATACCTAGGACCCAGCAAACCCCCTGGAGATCAGGGTTTGAATTGGTCTTCAGCAACCCATGCTTGTCATAACAAACAACTAACAGGATTGGGTGGTCTGACTTGGTTCATGCATATCATCGTATCCCAAATGTGTAGATTGATGCTCATGATGTCACCTTCTGGATTGTCTGGTACAAACATGACCAATGTCATATAGCTGGAATATTGCTGAGTATGGCAGGTAAACAAACTGTAAGCCAACCAAATAAAACAGTACATTTAAGACAGATGTTCATGATGATAAGTGTTATCCCTTGGGGGTAAGTTTGGTCACTGCAGATTACTGCTATACGTGGTATATTCCATGGAAGGCATACACTACCAAGCACAGATGAGACATGGCAGATGTTAAGCAATAATTCAATGTTAACGTAACATGAAATGATATGCTATGAAACAAGGGATGTTCAAGTCCACCCCACATCTCTATATACGGTAGGTTTAGTGTATGTTCTCGATTTCCTAAGAGATGATGGTGTAGCATTGTGGTAGGTCAGTTAGACTGCAGATGCTAGGTCTCTCATTGTGTCCCCATCTGATTCTGTTGCAGTGATGAGGATGACTTAGTCAACATGATCATTAACATTGTGTATACCCTTTGCAAATGCATGATGTTCACTGCGATGCTACGTTACGTATTGATGAAAACCAGGGAGAACCTTTGACATAGCATAAGAAGTAAAATTGGTTTGTTTGTCTGTTATTAATATGATTATGAAAAAAAAAATAGGTTAATGAATAATTGAATACTGCTGTACAAAAAACATGGTAGTAAATGAATGTCATACAGTCTCTGAAACAAATATACTTCAAATGAGGATTTAGCATATAAACATGAATATTCATTTAGATTTTGGAAATATTGATATGAATAAATTCAGTTTGAATGTTATTTGTGCACTCAGTGATGGTGTCTTCAGAAAGCACATAATGACATTGAGTTATAACATTTGCTGTTGCTGCAGAGAGCTGCTTCTGAGCTGAAGGCCTTGGAAGAAGATCATTCAGCACTGAAAAACAAAATGGATGCCTGCAAAGCAAGGTACTTAAACATTTATGTCTCTGTTTTATCTGTCATTCCAAAAATACCTTGCTAAGGAAGAAATATTTTCTTACTCAAAATAATTTGATGTCCATGTCTGTTTTCAGGAACAAGGTGTTGTCCAATGAGACAAAGTCCCTAAAACAACAGATTCAGACTCTCCTGGAGAAGGGAAAGAACGATGATGAGCTGGTGCAAGCCCTAATGGTAAGTGTGGAAGACGATGGTGAGGTGGTCAGGGTGGGAAGTGATGGTGAGGTGGACAGGGTGGGAGGAGATGTGAGGGTGGACAGGTTGGGAGACGATGGTGAGGGTGGAAGGTTCATTGAGGGTGGACAGTGTGGGAGATTATGTGAGGGTAGACATGGTGGGAGATGATGGTGAGGGTGGACAGTGTGGGAGATGATGGTGCGTGTGGACAGGGTGGGAGGTGATGGTGAGGGAGGACAGGGTGGGAGATGATGGTGAGGGAGGACATGGTGGGAGATGATGGTGAGGGAGGACAGGGTGGGAGGTGATGGTGAGGGTGGACAGGGTGGGAGGTGATGGTGAGGGAGGACAGGGTGGGAGGTGATGTGAGGGTGGACAGGGTGGGAGACAATGGTGAGGGTGGACAGGGTGGGAGGTGATGGTGAAGGAGGACAGGGTGGGAGACAATGGTGAGGGTGGACAGGGTGGGAGATGATGGTGAGGGAGGACAGGGTGGGAGACGATGGTGAGGGTAGACATGGTGGGAGATGATGGTGAGGGAGGACAGGGTGGGAGGTGATGTGAGGGTGGACAGGGTGGGAGACAATGGTGAGAGTGGACAGGGTGGGAGATGATGGTGAGGGAGGACAGGGTGGGAGACAATGGTGAGGGTAGACATGGTGGGAGATGATGGTGAGGGAGGACAGGGTGGGAGGTGATGTGAGGGTGGACAGGGTGGGAGACAATGGTGAGAGTGGACAGGGTGGGAGATGATGGTGAGGGAGGACAGGGTGGGAGGTGATGGTGAGGGAGGACAGGGTGGGAGGTGATGTGAGGGTGGACAGGGTGGGAGACAATGGTGAGGGTGGACAGGGTGGGAGGTGATGGTGAGGGAGGACAGGGTGGGAGACGATGTGAGGGGGGACAGGGTGGGAGATGATGGTGAGGGAGGACAGGGTGGGAGATGATGGTGAGGGAGGACAGGGTGGGAGACAATGGTGAGGGTGGACAGGGTGGGAGGTGATGGTGAGGGAGGACAGGGTGGGAGGTGATGTGAGAGTGGACAGGGTGGGAGACAATGGTGAGGGAGGACAGGGTGGGAGGTGATGGTGAGGGAGGACAGGGTGGGAGATGATGGTGAGGGTGGACAGGGTGGGAGATGATGGTGAGGTGGACATGGTGGGAGATGATGGTGAGGGTAGACATGGTGGGAGATGATGGTGAGGGTGGACAGGGTGGGAGACAATGGTGCATATGGACAGGGTGGGAGACAATGGTGAGGTGGACATGGTGGGAGATGATGGTGAGAGTGGACAGGGTGGGAGATGATGGTGAGGGAGGACAGGGTGGGAGACAATGGTGAGGGTGGACAGGGTGGGAGATGATGGTGAGGGAGGACATGGTGGGAGATGATGGTGAGGGAGGACAGGGTGGGAGGTGATGTGAGGGTGGACAGGGTGGGAGACAATGGTGAGGGTGGACAGGGTGGGAGACAATGGTAAGATGGACAGGGTGGGAGATGATGGTGAGGATGGACAGGGTGGGAGGTGATGTGAGGGTGGACAGGGTGGGAGATGATGGTGAGAGTGGACAGGGTGGGAGATGATGGTGAGGGAGGACATGGTGGGAGATGATGGTGAGGGAGGACAGGGTGGGAGGTGATGTGAGGGTGGACAGGGTGGGAGACAATGGTGAGGGTGGACAGGGTGGGAGACAATGGTAAGATGGACAGGGTGGGAGATGATGGTGAGGATGGACAGGGTGGGAGGTGATGTGAGGGTGGACAGGGTGGGAGACAATGGTGAGGGTGGACAGGGTGGGAGACAATGGTAAGATGGACAGGGTGGGAGATGATGGTGAGGGTGGACAGGGTGGGAGATGATGGTTAGGGTGGACAGGGTGGGAGATGATGGTGAGGGTGGACAGGGTGGGAGGTGGTGGTGCGTGTGGACGTGGTGGGAGGTGGTGGTGCGTGTGGACAGGGTGGGAGGTGGTGGTGCGTGTGGACAGGGTGGGAGGTGAGGGTGGACAGGGTGGGAGATGATGGTGAGGGTGGACAGGGTGGGAGATGATGGTGAGGGTGGACAGGGTGGGAGGTGATGGTGAGGGTGGACAGGGTGGGAGATGATAGTGAGGGTGGACAGGGTGGGAGGTGGTGGTGCGTGTGGACAGGGTGGGAGGTGATGGTGAGGGTGGACAGGGTGGGAGACAATGGTGAGGGTGGACAGGGTGGGAGACAATGGTAAGATGGACAGGGTGGGAGATGATGGTGAGGGTGGACAGGGTGGGAGGTGATGTGAGGGTGGACAGGGTGGGAGACAATGGTGAGGGTGGACAGGGTGGGAGACAATGGTAAGATGGACAGGGTGGGAGATGATGGTGAGGGTGGACAGGGTGGGAGATGATGGTTAGGGTGGACAGGGTGGGAGATGATGGTGAGGGTGGACAGGGTGGGAGATGATGGTGAGGGTGGACAGGGTGGGAGATGATAGTGAGGGTGGACAGGGTGGGAGGTGGTGGTGCGTGTGGACAGGGTGGGAGATGATGGTGAGGTGGACAGGGTGGGAGATGATGGTGAGGTGGACAGGGTGGGAGATGATGGTGAGGTGGACAGGGTGGGAGACAATGTGAGGGTGGACAGGGTGGGAGACAATGGTGAGGTGGACAGGGTGGGAGACAATGGTGAGGTGGACAGGGTGGGAGATGATGGTGAGGTGGACAGGGTGGGATGTGATGGTGCGTGTGGACAGGGTGGGAGACGATGTTAAGGTGGACAGGGTGGGAGACGATGTGAGGGTGGACAGGGTGGGAGATGATGGTGAGGTGGACAGGGTGGGAGATGATGGTGAGTGTGGACAGGGTGGGAGATGATGGTGAGGTGGACAGGGTGGGATGTGATGGTGCGTGTGGACAGGGTGGGAGACAATGGTGAGGTGGACAGGGTGGGAGATGATGGTGAGGTGGACAGGGTGGGATGTGAGGGTGAGAGTGGACAGGGTGGGAGACAATGGTGCATATGGACAGGGTGGGAGACGATGTGAGGGTGGACAGGGTGGGAGATGATGGTGAGGTGGACAGGGTGGGAGACGATGTTGAGGTGAACAGGGTGGGAGACAATGGTGAGGTGGACAGGGTGGGAGACGATGTGAGGGTGGACAGGGTGGGAGATGATGGTGAGGTGGACAGGGTGGGAGACGATGTTGAGGTGAACAGGGTGGGAGACAATGGTGAGGTGCACAGGGTGGGAGACGATGTGAGGGTGGACAGGGTGGGAGATGATGGTGAGGTGGACAGGGTGGGAGACGATGTTGAGGTGAACAGGGTGGGAGACAATGGTGAGGTGGACAGGGTGGGAGACAATGGTGAGGTGGACACGGTGGGAGATGATGGTGAGGTGGACAGGGTGGGATGTGATGGTGCGTGTGGACAGGGTGGGAGACGATGTGAGGGTGGACAAGGTGGGATGTGAGGGTGAGGGAGGACAGTGTGGGAGGTGATGGTGAGAGTGGACAGGGTGGGAGATGATGGTTAGGGTGGACAGGGTGGGAGATGATGGTTAGGGTGGACAGGGTGGGAGGTGGTGGTGCGTGTGGACAGGGTGGGAGATGATGGTGAGGGAGGACAGGGTGGGAGACAATGGTGAGGGTAGACATGGTGGGAGATGATGGTGAGGGAGGACAGGGTGGGAGGTGATGTGAGGGTGGACAGGGTGGGAGACAATGGTGAGGGTGGACAGGGTGGGAGACAATGGTAAGATGGACAGGGTGGGAGATGATGGTGAGGATGGACAGGGTGGGAGGTGATGTGAGGGTGGACAGGGTGGGAGACAATGGTGAGGGTGGACAGGGTGGGAGACAATGGTAAGATGGACAGGGTGGGAGATGATGGTGAGGGTGGACAGGGTGGGAGATGATGGTTAGGGTGGACAGGGTGGGAGATGATGGTGAGGGTGGACAGGGTGGGAGGTGGTGGTGCGTGTGGACGTGGTGGGAGGTGGTGGTGCGTGTGGACAGGGTGGGAGGTGGTGGTGCGTGTGGACAGGGTGGGAGGTGAGGGTTGACAGGGTGGGAGATGATGGTGAGGGTGGACAGGGTGGGAGATGATGGTGAGGGTGGACAGGGTGGGAGGTGATGGTGAGGGTGGACAGGGTGGGAGATGATAGTGAGGGTGGACAGGGTGGGAGGTGGTGGTGCGTGTGGACAGGGTGGGAGGTGATGGTGAGGGTGGACAGGGTGGGAGACAATGGTGAGGGTGGACAGGGTGGGAGACAATGGTAAGATGGACAGGGTGGGAGATGATGGTGAGGGTGGACAGGGTGGGAGGTGATGTGAGGGTGGACAGGGTGGGAGACAATGGTGAGGGTGGACAGGGTGGGAGACAATGGTAAGATGGACAGGGTGGGAGATGATGGTGAGGGTGGACAGGGTGGGAGATGATGGTTAGGGTGGACAGGGTGGGAGATGATGGTGAGGGTGGACAGGGTGGGAGATGATGGTGAGGGTGGACAGGGTGGGAGATGATAGTGAGGGTGGACAGGGTGGGAGGTGGTGGTGCGTGTGGACAGGGTGGGAGATGATGGTGAGGTGGACAGGGTGGGAGATGATGGTGAGGTGGACAGGGTGGGAGATGATGGTGAGGTGGACAGGGTGGGAGACAATGTGAGGGTGGACAGGGTGGGAGACAATGGTGAGGTGGACAGGGTGGGAGACAATGGTGAGGTGGACAGGGTGGGAGATGATGGTGAGGTGGACAGGGTGGGATGTGATGGTGCGTGTGGACAGGGTGGGAGACGATGTTAAGGTGGACAGGGTGGGAGACGATGTGAGGGTGGACAGGGTGGGAGATGATGGTGAGGTGGACAGGGTGGGAGATGATGGTGAGTGTGGACAGGGTGGGAGATGATGGTGAGGTGGACAGGGTGGGATGTGATGGTGCGTGTGGACAGGGTGGGAGACAATGGTGAGGTGGACAGGGTGGGAGATGATGGTGAGGTGGACAGGGTGGGATGTGAGGGTGAGAGTGGACAGGGTGGGAGACAATGGTGCATATGGACAGGGTGGGAGACGATGTGAGGGTGGACAGGGTGGGAGATGATGGTGAGGTGGACAGGGTGGGAGACGATGTTGAGGTGAACAGGGTGGGAGACAATGGTGAGGTGGACAGGGTGGGAGACGATGTGAGGGTGGACAGGGTGGGAGATGATGGTGAGGTGGACAGGGTGGGAGACGATGTTGAGGTGAACAGGGTGGGAGACAATGGTGAGGTGGACAGGGTGGGAGACGATGTGAGGGTGGACAGGGTGGGAGATGATGGTGAGGTGGACAGGGTGGGAGACGATGTTGAGGTGAACAGGGTGGGAGACAATGGTGAGGTGGACAGGGTGGGAGACAATGGTGAGGTGGACACGGTGGGAGATGATGGTGAGGTGGACAGGGTGGGATGTGATGGTGCGTGTGGACAGGGTGGGAGACGATGTGAGGGTGGACAAGGTGGGATGTGAGGGTGAGGGAGGACAGTGTGGGAGGTGATGGTGAGAGTGGACAGGGTGGGAGATGATGGTTAGGGTGGACAGGGTGGGAGATGATGGTTAGGGTGGACAGGGTGGGAGGTGGTGGTGCGTGTGGACAGGGTGGGAGATGATGGTTAGGGTGGACAGGGTGGGAGATGATGGTTAGGGTGGACAGGGTGGGAGGTGGTGGTGCGTGTGGACAGGGTGGGAGATGATGGTTAGGGTGGACAGGGTGGGAGGTGGTGGTGCGTGTGGACAGGGTGGGAGGTGGTGGTGCGTGTGGACAGGGTGGGATGTGAGGGTGAGGGTGGACAGGGTGGGAGGTGATGGTGAGAGTGGACAGGGTGGGAGGTGATGGTGAGGGTGGACAGGGTGGGAGATGATGGTGTGTGTGGACAGGGTGGGAGGTGGTGGTGCGTGTGGACAGGGTGGGAGGTGGTGGTGCGTGTGGACAGGGTGGGATGTGAGGGTGAGGGTGGACAGGGTGGGAGGTGAGGGTGGACAGGGTGGGAGATGATTGTGAGGGTGGACAGGGTGGGAGGTGAGGGTGAGGGTGGACAGGGTGGGAGGTGAGGGTGGACAGGGTGGGAGATGATGGTGAGGGTGGACAGGGTGGGAGATGATGGTGAGGTTGGACAGGGTGGGAGGTGAGGATGAGAGTGGACAGGGCGGGAGGTGAGGGTGGACAGGGTGGGAGGTGAGGATGAGAGTGGACAGGGTGGACAGGGTGGAGGTGAGGGTGGACAGGGTGGAGGTGAGGATGAGGGTGGACAGGGCGGGAGGTGAGGGTGGACAGGGTGGAGGTGAGGGTGGACAGGGTGGAGGTGAGGGTGAGGGTGGACAGGGTGGGAGGTGATGGTGAGAGTGGACAGGGTGGGAGGTGATGGTGAGGGTGGACAGGGTGGGAGATGATGGTGTGTGTGGACAGGGTGGGAGGTGGTGGTGCGTGTGGACAGGGTGGGAGGTGGTGGTGCGTGTGGACAGGGTGGGATGTGAGGGTGAGGGTGGACAGGGTGGGAGGTGAGGGTGGACAGGGTGGGAGATGATTGTGAGGGTGGACAGGGTGGGAGGTGAGGGTGAGGGTGGACAGGGTGGGAGGTGAGGGTGGACAGGGTGGGAGATGATGGTGAGGGTGGACAGGGTGGGAGATGATGGTGAGGTTGGACAGGGTGGGAGGTGAGGATGAGAGTGGACAGGGCGGGAGGTGAGGGTGGACAGGGTGGGAGGTGAGGATGAGAGTGGACAGGGTGGACAGGGTGGAGGTGAGGGTGGACAGGGTGGAGGTGAGGATGAGGGTGGACAGGGCGGGAGGTGAGGGTGGACAGGGTGGAGGTGAGGGTGGACAGGGTGGAGGTGAGGGTGGACAGGGTGGGAGGTGATGGTGAGTGGGGACAGGGTTTGGAAGTGAGGGTGAGGGTGGACAGGGTGGGAGGTGATGGTGAGTGCGGACAGGGTGGGAGGTGATGTGAGGGAGGACAGGGTGGGAGGTGATGTGAGGGAGGACAGGGTGGGAGGTGATGTGAGGGAGGACAGGGTGGGTGGGGATGTGAGGGTGGACAGGGTGGGAGGTGGTGGTGAGAGTGGACAGGGTGGGAAGTGATGTGAGGGAGGACAGGATGGGTGGTGATGTGAGGGTGGACAGGGTGGGAGGTGGTGGTGCGTGTGGACAGGGTGGGAGGTGATGTGAGGGTTGATAGGGTGGGAGGTGATGGTGGGTATGGACAGGGTGGGAGGTGATGTGAGGGTGGACAGGGTGGGAGACAATGGTGAGGGAGGACAGGATGGGAGGTGATGGTGCATATGGACAGGGTGGGAGGTGACATATAGCTTTCCATTCCCATCCTCCACATGGTGATGGGGCGGTCGGGTAGCCTAGTGGTTAAAGCGTTCGCTCGTCACGCTGAAGACCCGGGTTCAGTTCCCGACATGGGTACAATGTGTGAAGCCCATTTCTGGTGTCCCCCGCCGTGATATTGCTGGAATATTGCTAAAAGCGGCGTAAAACCTTACTCACTCACTCACTCCACATGGTGATACACCTGCCCTTGTACCCCGACAGAGGCAGCTGCAGCAGTTGAAGCAGATGCTGGAGACGTCGAACCAGCACCAGCAGAGCAACATGGAACGGCACCAGGAGAAGATGAAGGACATGAGCGTCAAGGTGCAGCAGGACAACAACATCGTAGAGCAGCTCAAGGCCATCGTGGCTGAGAAGGAGCAGAAGGTCAAGGTCTTGGAGAATGAGATCCATCAGATGAAACTCAATGTGAGCAATGTAAACTCAATCAGATTGCTATGATAGTTGTTGTTGTAATGGTGCTGTCATGGATCATTGCCTCTGCTGGTGCTGATTACCTATGATATAGCCGAATTAATTTGCATACAAATTTGCATGAAAAATGTTAAAGCCCAATAGTATAACAGCGCTGTGCATAATTACCCAATCTTGTCTTTCAGCTTGTAAATGTGAATATCTTGACAAATCTTTATCTACTGCAGTGAATGATACACAAGAGGGCTGTCTCTTTTATTATATCTGAGACATGTATCGCTGTTATGAGATTAGGCAACAGGTGAGTCACTTGGAGCAGCACATGAACAGAAAGTTAGAAGTTACCTGAAACAGCATTTTAAGCAAAATTGTTTTTAAAATGTCTACTCATTGGTTTAGATGTGAATGATAACATGTGAATAAATATGCAATGGCTTATCCGGAGCCCTGGAGGCAGCTGTGATTGCTAGGACCATTAAATTGTTTGACTTGACTTGAAATCGACCGATATGTGGATATTATAGATGCTACTTTAGCAACTTGTTTTTATTCTGGAGCTCCGTGTCTGTGTTTGCTACAGAAAGATTGATAGGAAGTAGAAGGAAAGTTTGTTGTACTTCAAATGTATGGAAGTATTTCCTGTGTCCCTGCAGCACATCCAGCGAGCCCAGATGGAGAGTGTGTCGGCCATGTTCCAGGAGCCACGCCCACCCTCGGGGCCCATCAGCAGCCGCCCTGGAACAGTAGCGTCGGATGGAGGAGATACTATCGTCCTCACCACTGTCACGCCACCAGAATCAAGGTAAGGACAAGCCCAGCTTCTTTTAATCATCACTCACAGACATAACATAAACTGGCTGTATATATACACTACTAGTCCTGTCTTTCACCCACACCTGAAATGTTTGAACCATTAAAGGAGCTGTTGTCCATGAGGGATATTCTTGTTTCCATATTCCATAGCTACAGACTGTTGGGTAGGGAGAGTATTTGCATGGGAGGCCACAAAGGAAGACAACTCTTAGCTGTCTATACTAATCTGTGGTAGGAGTTAGGTCTGGGCTGGGTCCAGATTTACTATCTGGGTAACCAATCCCCCATTACCCAACCTGACCCAGGTACCTGCTGTAAACCGACCTTCACAATTACATTCGTCGACTACATTATTCACATTCACATCATAAATATATACCATATTTTGGGGTGTATAATACACACATTTTTTGGGGAGAAAATATGGATGTGTAGAGACAGGTGTAACCATGAATAATTAGCAGATAAACATACTGTGTTTTCAATGAAGAGCTAGGTTACCTGTAAATTTAACCCCGCTACATTGAATTTGGAACCGAACGCGCAGCGTGAGGTTTCAAATGTTTAATTTGAAACCAATTTGACCAAATTTGAAAGCAATAAGAATCGAGTAAATTCCAAATTCATGGTAGAATTTTTTATTGTCACAGCCTTTATTCATTATCTCATGTTACTAACCAAGGGTCCAGGTAGTCCTAAGGGTACCTGGATCCTACTCATGATCCATCAGATCAGGGTACCAAAGTTACCTGTCCCAGCCCTAGTACTCTACCTGCTTGATACTATGTCTCAAGCCCGAGATCATGCAGATTGAATACCGGTTATGTGATTTCAGACTCAGTGAACGGCCACCAACTAGTAACAGGGTTGTAGAGAGTGCAAGAGCTCTGTCTCGGGTCTCTGCCAGACCGGCATCAGCCAGGTGAGTACCATAGTGTATTGAGTTTGTGTTGACACATTTTCATGTTGATGGTATGATTTGTTTTCAGTTAATACCAACAGACCATTTACTAATATTATTATAAGATCCAGATTAGAATTCAGCAACCCACGCTTGCCGTAAAAGGCTACTAACAGGATCCAGGGGTCAGCCTTGCTGACTTAGTTGATGCATGTCATCGATTCCAATTACGTAGATTGATGCTCATGATGTCAATCACTACATTGTCCAGACAGACCGCTGTCATATAGCTGGAACATTGCTGAGTGCAGTGTTAAAAACAAAAAAACAAATGTGTAAATGCTATTTTGTTACCTCACAAGCAGAATAAATGGCCTTAATTCCTCATGTGTGCATTCAGTGAATCCCAATTAATGCATGCACACCTTAAATACTATCTCATATTTCCTAAAAATATGACTGGAGAATAATCAGATTTAATCAAATTATCGTGTTCCTTAATTCTACTTTCTGAATATCTGACCCTGATCTGAGGTGATGTAGAGGCTGCAGTTAATCTTCCATGTCTTCATTGCCAAAGGTCTGAAGAGACGACAAAATGGATCAGGTGGTAAGGCTTGGTGCCATGGTTGATTGCATGGATCATTGCTCATAATGCTAATCACTGGATTGCCTGGTCCAGACTCCACTGGTTAAAGGCCGCCATGATTTTGTTTTAGTTTTGCTGAGCATGATGTTAAACAACAAACAAACAATAAATGGTTGCCTAAGTTTGGTTGTGTTGGCAGCAATGTGAGCGGCAACAACAGCGGGGTCGGGATGGCTGACCTGCAGTACCAGTGTCAAGAGTATCTCACCATGATGCAGGTGTCCGACGTCGAGCGGGAGAAGCTCGCCGAGCTGGTGCATGTTCTTCAAAAGAGGTGACTGTTTAACTGCAATGCTGCAGCGTTTGTCAGTTCTTTCTGTAATACAAGTTTTAATGTGGTATGAACATGACAGATCACCAATTTACATTTGACAACGTTGTTTAAGTTTAATGCTTTTGAATATTCTTCTTTCATTCCAATATTTTAGAAAGTATGTTATCTTCACATGATTGTGAACATTTCTACTTATTATTGTGACATTTTCAAAACTTCTAAGATATGTAAGTTTTAAGTACTGAAACTTGATAAAGGGTTAAGGATTTTTATTACTAATGTAAACAGGTGGACAAGTTGCTAATCTTTGATACATGTACTTAAGTATACAATACATATTTGATTCATTATCAAAAGTGGGAATTTGTGGACAAGACATGTTCAATAAATGTTTTGACATATTTGACTGTTTGTCTTCAGGATTGATGCAACATCAAGCAAATTGAATGACATGCAATCAGAGCTAATCCAAGAAAGGAAAAAAAATGTTGTGTTGGAGAAAAAGCTTGGGAAAGCCAAGCTCGATCCTGCTCTATCGTCTAGGACTAGTGCTAATGTGAAGACAGGCAGACTGCAGACAGCCAAGACATCAGCCTCGACCGCCAGGGAGTCCGTCACCCACCTCGACAGCATGGACAAGTTGGACCAAACAGAGCTTGAGGAACTCATCACCAGGTGAGTATATGTTCCAGTTTACTGTATCAAAATAGAAAATACTCTTAAGTATACAATCTCTTAGATATTGTGCAATGAACTGTTGACACTGGTTCACATGATTCACACAAATTTAGGGGACACAGGTGGCCCAGTCGACTAAGACTCAGGAATTTGCTTTGCAGAGTTGTGTACCCAAAGTGTGCTAGAAACTGGATCGTAGGTTCAAATCCCAGTTTATGTTTCTTGGTTTGTCAGCACCATACCTGTGCTTGTGGGTTTTACCAAAGAGGTATACGTCTAAAACCTGTATTATTTCGGGTTTTCCTCCAACATCAAGCTGACACACCATATAACTGAAAAACTGTTCAGTCACAGTTAAGCAAAGCTCACTTACATGAGTCGAGATTCAAGAATAAATAGAATGATCGGGATTAAATTGGTTCCACTTATTTATTTCAGTTGATACATTTAATTGTGTTGTAGTCTGGTATAATGTAAGCAATGTTGTTTGGTTCCAGTCTTGACATCCAGCGCGATGAGAACGAGGCTCTCAAGGCAGCGCTACAGAGCACCCTGAAAGCCAAGCAAGAGGACCTAAAGCTCTACAGCGACACGATGGATGAAACCAAGAAAGTCTTTCTCCAGGCTCTCCGACAGTTCAAACACAATGCTAACACATCATCTTGATCATCAGCTACACACGCTCTGACACCATCTCAAACATTAGTCACAATGTGTCCATTCACTCATTCTCCTATATAAGTCTAGTGGGTGTATTCTGAAGTGTGTCTGGTAGAAGAAGGAAGACTTATTGTAATATGATGTGCAGTTTTCACAATTTCTGAGTTGTGTCACATTTTGATCAAACAGTGATACACCGTCAGGAAAACCCACCTTCTGCACGATTTCTGTGGAGAACATCAACATACATCTTGCATAAATTGGATATTAATTCATACTCAGGAAATTTGTTAATCCTGGGAACATTGATCCAGAATCACAAGATGTCACTGTAAGGAGATACGAGACCATCAGCCCAGATGTTACTGTGTGTGGACGCCTTGTGACAAACACCTGTAAACTCATGACATGTTCTCCAAGCTCGGAGCATCACATTAAAGTGGTGGATTTATGCCCGTCCCAAGCCCCTGACCACCCTGCTGATGCTATAGAGCCGCTCTAGGCCAATATCTGGTTTTTGTTGATCACAAGATGTGTTTTGTGAGACGTTATTATTGAGTTGAATGTACTCTCTGTTATATATGTAGATCTGTAAACATGGAAATGATATCGTCTTGCTCAAACTTTTCTTAAAATATTCCGTCCTTTTTTGTTCATATGTAGCAACTTGTCCTGTTTTGGATCTGAATATCAGCTATTGTTTCTGTGGAAAAGAATTTTGTTTTGATATTCTTCTTGCCTTTTTTAATGCCTCTACATGAAATTAACCTTATAATCTACAAATTATTGTTTAGAGAACTGACATTGATAGAATTGTTAGTGATATGAATGAGGGCATTAACATGTGGAAATACATAAGGTAAACTGAGTTGTTTCCTCATCGTTCATGTACTCTAGAGTTAATCATCATATTCCGTCCTATGATTGCATATATTATGCATAAGTATTCTCCATTTCTCATTGCTGACATGAGAGTTTGATAAGCCATTCCACTGTTTTGGGGTATGAAATCTCCCTGTTGTGTTTAACAGTAGGAACATTCCTGCTTGAAGGACACTCAGTTTGGGGGTATTTACTTACATCAAGGCATGACAGCATAGTGTGGGGAAAGTGATGGAGGAAATAGATGTTTAGTAAAGCCCACAAGTATGGGCACCATGCTGACAAACCAAGGATCAGGACATTTCGATTTCGATTTAATAATCAGTGGATCCTGGTATGACTAGGGGACACAACTCTGCACAGTGAATTGTAGTGCCATAGACTACTTGGCCACTCGTGACCTAGGTGGTGAATGTATGACAGTCAATGTTGGTATGATTTACAACCCTGCTCTGTGGACAAGGTCCTTGTCCTGCCACTATATATATACACAGACATAGGTGCTGACATATAAGAAGTGACTTCAGTATATTTGCATTTATGGAGGTATAAATGCACAAACATATTAAAGTCAATTCTTATAAATTAATATGTCAACAATAATAGACTGCTTATTTAGTCAATTATATGCCAAGAAAACTATAGGCAACAATTTGAATCGGTGACATTCATCGCAATGTTGCAACACAGGCCCTGCCCATTCTGTTATCAGCCAATTAGGAAACAGTAGTATGTTAAAGAGTGTGGCCTAATTTCTTTGGGGGTTTATCGAGACGAAATAAAAAGAGACTGGTTGGTTAGCCAATCAAATGCCAGGGCATCACTTGCAATTTATTTATTCAGTCACACCAGCAGTACGTCCATCATGGGTGCAGGTTAATCATCCTGCTGTACAGCTTCCCACCAATAACCTGAATAGCCCAAGATGTTGATCACTCATTCCATAATCATTGATGTTCCAATGAGGTACATGTGTAGTTTCTGTTCAGGCATTGTTCACAGCTGTTTGCATTCACATCATTGCTGAAACACATCTCTCACCTTTGTTTTCATCACAAATATAATTTATGTGAAAAATGTTTAATATTCATAATGATATGCATGTACAGTTGTTGAAAGTGTTGTTTTTCAGAAAACACAAAATGAAGAAAAATAAAATGCACAAATAAACTTGATTCCAAAGTTTTCCTGCTAGCTTTGTATTGATTATTGAGTGACTATGGATTTATGCCGTTTTTAGCAATATTCCAGCAATATCATTGCGGGGGAAAGTCCCTGAAAATGGGCTTCACACATTGTACCATGTGAGGAATCGAACCCGGGTCTTCGGTGTGACGAGCAAACGCTACAACCACTAGGCTACCCGATTGCCCCGTTGATAAGCATATGTACCTTCAGCTGTACCTGCTGTACATTCGAGGAATGTTCAAATCCGGGGGCAGAATAGGAACCCTGTACACTGTACTTATGTTGGCAATGTGTGGCATGCTTCACGGTGGCATTGTACCCTGTTGGTAAGGATTGATGCTCAGTGTATCAACCACTGGTACAAAAATTGTATATCTTCAGGATGCAAAGAAATTGCAATGACTGCAGCATTATGCATTGACTCACACTGTGACATAACATAACACTGACTCACACTGCAGCATAAAACAACATTCACTTACACTGCAGCATAACACAACATGGACTCACACTGCAGCATTACACAACACTGACTCACACTGCAGCATTACACAACACTGACTCACACTGCAGCATTACACAACACTGACTCACACTGCAGCATAACACAACACTGACTCACACTGCGGCATTACACAACACTGACTCACACTGCAGCATTACACAACACTGACTCACACTGCAGCATAACAACACTGACTCACACTGCGGCATTACACAACACTGACTCACACTGCAGCATTACACAACACTGACTCACACTGCAGCATAACACAACACTGACTCACACTGCGGCATTACACAACACTGACTCACACTGCAGCATAACAACACTGACTCACACTGCGACATTACACAACACTGACACACACTCCAGAATAACACAACACTGACTCACACTGCAGCATAACACAACACTGACTCACACTGCAGCATTACACAACACTGACTCACACTGCAGCATAACAACACTTACTGCAGCATAACACAACACTGATTCACACTGCAGCATAACACAACACTCACTGCAGCATTACACAACACTGATTCACACTGCAGCATTACACAACACTGACTCACACTGCAGCATAACACAACACTCACTGCAGCATAACACAACACTGATTCACACTGCAGCATTATACAACACTGACTCACTTAAACAGGACTGAAAGTTGTGGAGCAGTTTTTTAGTGGCCGCTTTCAGTGATGTTCCGGGTTAGACTTGGTCCTGAAAACCCATGCTGGTCATTAGAGGTGCCTTAATGGATCTTGCTGACAGTGTGAATCATTGCTCACAGTATCATGGTGGTCCGGCTCAGTGACTTGGTTGATTGCCTGGCAACATACCCCGACATTGTGGATTGTAATGTTAATCACTGAATTGTCTGGTCCAGACTATATCATTTACAGGCTGATATCATATAGCTGGAATATTTCTACCACACACACATCACAGTGCAAGGGTTTGATATTACAGCCTTCATTACAGTTATGTAAGTTACCATGTGGACTAATCCTTATTATATTTCTGTTGAGACTCAAGCCCAATGTTCTATGTTATCAGCCCACTTGACAATGACGAGTCCCCACAACAGGCCTTGCATTGAAAGCTTGAGGGAGCCAGATCAGTAGAATAAGGTGGTTGCTGATGGAGTTCAAGGTCACACTGGTGTATTGTAGCCATGGCAATGAGTGATTTGTGCACCGGTTCATGATCCTGGTGGAAGAGCACACCTTTTCTCAGCTTCCAACGTCTCTTAGTCTTATTTTATCCATAATGGCCTCAAACTGTCAAAGGTGCGGGATAATATGTACCGTTTATTGCCTGGCCTGATAGAAGAAAGTCCGCCATGATGACACCCTCAGCATCCCAGAACATGGTTGTAATGTCAAATGCTTCCACAGTTTTGACTGTTGATTTGGCTCAGGCTGGAAGTGGTGAACCCATGTTTCATCCACTCACACATCGCTGCAAAAACCTTTCTGGATCAGCATAACGCAGAGCTAGATTATCAGAAGATACGTACAGCCTGGTTCGTCAATGATCACCTGGCAGAAGCTTTGGAACCCAACGAGCTGATACTTTCTTCATTACAAAAGTCACTGTGATAATGGAAGGTATTCTCTTTTGGGAAATGCCTATTGAACTAGCAATATAAACCTAAAGCGGGACACATAAAACCACATGTACCCCTTGTGTTACTGCTACAACTTATAAGGTCCACCACAAAATAGTTCATAGTTATGTGCGGCTTAGAACTTATCAATAAACCTTCATGCTGAAGCTATCGGGGAAAACCTCAAAATTTGGATCAGAGGAATTAAGTACATTTTGGCCTTCTTCGGTGACAGTTGACAATATCGATGACTAAGCAAGCATAGAGACAATGATCTACTGAGACGGTCGTCCGGTTCTTCTAAAATACAGATATGAATGAAAGCAGTTTACACTTCGTGTAATGTAATCCTGTCATCTAGGTTAGGTGAAACCTGTTAATCTGGATGATACTGTGTTCAAAAAGGAGTTAAAGACACTTTTCTTCTGTAATTTGATATTAATGTTTCCAAGAAATAAGAACACAAACAATGCAAGTGTTTAGTTACAAGAATGTAGCCATATTTCAACAACTTCTTAATACACCAACAGATGGATACTAGTCCCAACATTGAAATACATATCAATACTATGATATTTTTAATTTTCTCAAGAATTTCAGATTCATGTTGGAACCAAGAAGTCATATATATACATGTATCTTCGTTAAGTTAGTACATGTTAGTAAACCAATGAAGATCCAGGTTAGAATTGGTCTTCCTATGCTTATTGTAAGAGGCGACTAACGTGATCGGGTGGTCAACCTCGCTGACATGGCTGATGCATCTGATTGTATCCCAATTGCGTGTTTTGATGCTCATGATGTCAATCACTTGATTATTTTCAGACCGCTGTCATATAGATAGAATATTGCTCAGTGTGGCGTTCAACAAGAAAAAAAAATGAACAAACAAAAACAGGTAAATATTTGATGCAGAATCTAAACATTTCATGTAAAACTCAAATGCCAAAGAATATGTTTTGTACATTTTATTAACATAACATTACTGTTTGATATCTGGTCCACATGACACTCGTTACATTGTCAAACGTTTCTGCTACATGAATGGTGGCAACAGGTAACGTTGCAGAAAGTATGATCTTCATGTCTTTCAAAGACATAAGAACTGTCTACACATAAGAATCCAAAAAGTGAAAACAGTTTTGGTAAGCAATTCATTTTCCACAATATAAACCTTTCTTTCCCAAACTCAAATTTTATAACACAATAGGCTCCTTGATATATCCTCTATCACATGCTGACTTGTACAGTTGAGATTTTGGAACATTGTCCTGCATATGCTGTGATTCAGGCTGATGTTATATAACACATGAGGGATGAAAGTCTACAAAATGAGGGTGACGGTCTTCACACACAGCTAGGTCTTCATTGGTTCACTGCCATCAGGGTTTTTGCCTTTCTTCTCTAGTTCAGCCCTGGAACAAACATAATAATTCAGTAACAAAATAGTTATAACAGTGTCTAAAATAACTGCCTGCCCGCGGCTGATAACTTATCTATCAGGCTGCGTGAAGTTTTCCTCCACCTGTCAACTGCCTGGCAGATAATTTAATGACTACTTACGTATTCAGTTTACTGGTAGATTCTCAAGTAATTGTTTGCATTATTTCAACTGAATCAAGACACGAATTGTATTTTATTTTTCTCGTACTGTCATCGGCGATCCATTATTGTCGGTGGATGAAGGGAAGTAACTCTAACTTTTGTATGCAACACTGATTTCTTTTAAATTCTTTGATATCTTCAGCAGTAGAAACTAACATTTTTAGTTCACTAGTCCTTATAATGATAAACATATAGCTAAACACTTAAAAATGGCATACCTCTACGAGTCCTTATGATACCTAACTATTGGGCAGTTTGGCAAGGACTAAACATGGTCTAAGGCTTCTCCACACATACAGACAACACCTGACAATAATTAGAGGATATATTCACAAAAGTGGACTGCATGTGATGACTGGTGGATAAAGGAATGGAGAAGTACCTGAGTTGTTTTGAGAAATCATCCTCAATGTTGTCATCATCCCAGTTGTCTTCCCACACTTTCACATCTTCTGGGTCTTCATCCACAGCATCCCAGTCTGCAAGTTATTACCATTAATAATCAATAATTTGATACTGACTGATCAATCATCAATGAAACTGGTACTTATATTTTAATAGTTATAGTATTTGATTAGCATGATTAGGTAGCATACATTTTATATTACAATATCTTATGATGAAGAATAGGCCCATTTCTGCCAGCGTTCACTTTATCAAGCACCCAACTTTCACAGCATATGCTTTTCAGCACAGATTGTTTTTGTTATTTGGAGGTAAGTGATTCATGGAAGAGACTGGTATGTAGATTAAAAAAAATATTGTATTTCATGCTTTGTAGTCAATTTGAGACGTGGAAGTGTTCTGTAAACCCTACAGTGCAGATTGGCAGAAATTTCTAATGAGGCATCATTAGGCCCCTCGTACTGACATTTACATGATTGAGAAAATAAATGATATTTAACAGACGATGAAGGGATGAGCATATTGAGGGAATGTAACTGCAGCTATATTCAACATTGATCCTGGAAGTATTCATGTCTCATGTTTATGGCCATGTCATGTCTGTTGGCTAGCGAATGTTAGGAGGGCCATTCAACATTCCATTCAGATTCATCTGTTCCGTCAACAGGACAGACCTAATATTTGTTTCTAAAATTACCCCTGAATTAACATTTCATTACAAATATCGAAGTCATTTACATGGCATTCCCTTTTGTTGAAGTATTTAATGAAACCATGTAAACATAGCTTTCAGCTCCTCAATTGCAATAAACAGATAGGCCCAGACAATATGAAATTGAATGAGTAACGTCATAGTCTGTCGCCACATGGTGATTACGGGTAACTTTTGTGTATTATAACCTGATAGCCAGGGCCAAAAGTATATAGATATATTGTCGTTGTGTGAACTTTTGTCCTGGTAATCACCTTCAGCTGGAAACTCCTCAAATTCGTCGTCTTCTTCCAAAAGACCTAAATCAGGCTTCTTTTGTGGTTCGGCCGCCATGATGAAATGAATTTCTAGCTTAAAAGACGGACAATTCCGAATAGGAACGATGCAAATGCTTGAAGCGCTCGTTATATCCAACTACAAAACCCGCGTCTGCACAAAGACAAACTGTCGATGATTGATTTCTTTACATAGTTTTACAGAGGCAGAAAGACAATGAAGTAAAATCACAATTCCTATATCCAATTCATAATTCAGCGCCAAACCTCACGTGGGGACCAATCTTTGCTGCAGGTTACAATGCATTGTTTCACCGGTGAATCATATCAAAGACATATCCCGTGTTATGGCTTTTCGGACGTTTAAGAAACACTTGTAATTTTCTCGTTAATCACAAGAACAACTGTAAAACATCTTACTCACTTAAAGACGTCTTTATCTTTCAAATAGGTCATCATATGATTATAATATATTTACAACGTTTGTGTGACGGTTCAACCCTTGTTATAGCGCCGGTAATCGCGATAAACATGGCCATCCGAAAACGTATGATGTCCGAAAACCTATGACCCGACGATATTTACATTGTATATACGTCTTTGATCATATAGAATATAATTTCAAAAATAAAAAAGTCACAGGTTATTGCGATGGTTTTTTTTCAAAATTTATAGTGCTGAATGCTAAATGGAGATCACCACGTAGTGCTTTATGTATGACTCAAGTACTGTTCAAAGCGGCATAAAACCCAACTCACTCACAAATCACCAGTAACGAATGGGCCTGGAAACCATATGTGTGAATTGCACCGGAACAAAAATATGGCTTTTATTGGCATAATAAAATATTATCACGTTATTTGCAATTCAACAAAATTAATCTGAGGGTGGTCCTCAACATGATTTCGATTTCCATCGTTTAATATAATTTAGTCTTCGCAAAAAAATAAGTTGTGTGCATCATTCTAATTTCTGTTTCGTTATGTTAGAAGGAATCAGCATTCTCCTGGATACCATGTTCAGGTAGTGTTTATCTAATAAACAAAGTACATGCATATTTAGTTTAATCAGAGACCATATAATAGATGGTCTCTGGTTTAATGCTCAAACTGCTTTATTTCGTTGATTTCAAATGATAAGTATCTTTACTTGCCTACGGTTTCATAAGGATTTTACTGACCCTACGATTGTCTGGAATATGTTTCAACACTTTGCTCCGATAATAATTGTAAATGAAATCATATTTAGTGCTACATTCATCAGAAAACCCAATTTTGTCGGGAAGTTGCATATTGTTGGTTTGGTCTCGGTACATTAATCCGGATTTAGATGCAATACATTCTCTCCGAAAGCGGAGAGTCCTTTCAAGTTATCTCCCTTTGTTGTTTCGTCGAGCTGTGTTCAATGAGCGGAATGTTTACAGCTGGTTATTGGTTTAAAAACATTGTGTCAGCCAGTGTTTGTCAAAGTTTGATGAGGTAAAAACACAAACTTATAATTACGCATCATTTTCACGTCGTCTCATTTACACACTGCCGGTGTGTTTACGGTTACCAACGGGTCACTGTGTATTGTCATTTGTTCTTGCAGAATAAAGTTCATGATAGAAAACTTGCCATCGCCATGGCCTGTGAGGAAGAGCAGTCTTATGCTGACGTCCTGAGGCGAGCATCATGTCCAGTTGTATTCTCTGGACTGATAAACCATTGGTCCTCCCTTCACTGGACGCCATCTCATCTCGCCCAGGTGCTGCAGGGAAAGACCTACAGGTGCAAAGTTGCACCTAGGAAAAGCACAGGTGTTGAGATCATGGCCTTTGTATCTGTTTGTACTTTTAATTTCATATGCATTATGGTATCAGTATAGAATGACACATGCTTCTGTGTCAACATGCAGCTGCCTGGCCAAGTCTGCCAATTTTTGAGAAAAAATAGCTACTACTATTTATAGCCAAAAATGGCATCATATATCTAGAGAGGGCTAAGGCTAAAGCACATCAAAACAGGACCAAAATTACCTAGTACAAACAGGATATCTATCTATCTATCTATCTATCTATCTATCTATCTATCTATATATATATATATATATACACTATTTGCTATGTATTTGAAAAAAAGCCCACTCTTTTACATTCACCATACCTTTATTCAACATAGACACATTTTTCCAATATTTATTTTCGATTTTTATTTATGTTTTATCTATTTTACAAATTAAAATATTATTGGAACTTCATTGTGAAGTTTCAACCCATGTTTATAAAATGAACAGGTCGCGGGTGCTATTTGTTGTTTTCTCCAGTCTGGTGCTGTTTGCATTTGATGTCGTTTTAGCTGGAACCTTCTACAGTTTCATGTGAGCTGCATTTGAAGACATCATAACTGAGTTATATTGAGAATTTCAATTGCAATTACAAAAAGAGTGCCACATGACATGTGCATACATGTGTACCTCAACAAAATTACACTTATGATCCATTTTAGAAAAGGTGTGGGAGACTGACTGTGTTCACATAGAGGCATCTCTGGCAGACTTCGCTGACTGGACAGCTGGGAAAACAAGGGGAGGTAACCCCCTCTGCCATGTCTCACTCGAGGACTTCTCCTGCTATGTGGACTACAAGTACATGTCTGACATGTTTGAGGACTGCAGTGACTTGTTGAAGGTAATTAACATGCTAACACATAGAAAAGGTGTTTCTAAAAAAATAATGTGAATTTGAAATGTTCAGCGTGAAGCATTATCCAAACATAATACTTGTATTGATGCTGTCCAGCAAAGGAAACCATACCATACCATACCATACCATACCATACCATACCATACCATACCATACCATACCATAGTAGCATGGAAATTAATTTTTATTAGCACCTGTTTGCAAAACAGATCTGCTACAGAGTTGCAAACTGCCTAATATTAAAAGTGGTTTTCTTAAAAGAAATGTCTCTAGTTTATATCGAACCCAGCAATGCAATACAATAGAACATTTGCATCTGCTAGCCCCTATCACTTTCAAAACTACATGGAGTACTGTTTTTCCTATTGTCCAAGGATGATGTTACTTTTGCCAGTTTATGACTATCAGGTCCTATCCCAGAAGAATATTATTCTTGTTTATTTATCTTCCAGTCCGCGGACTGGTCAGTGTTTGGTCTGAGTGGACGTGATGGAAAGGACAGCACCATCTGGATAGGAAGTGGGGGAGCCTCTACACCATGCCACTATGACACATACGGCTACAACCTGGTGGCACAGATCCATGGCAGGTAGGTGTGCCACACAGATCCATGGCAGGTAGGTGTGCCACACAGATCCATGGCAGCTAGGTGTGCCACACAGATCCATGGCAGGTAGGTGTGTCACACAGATCCATGGCAGGTAGGTGTGCCACAAAGATCCATGGCAGGTAGGTGTGCCACACAGATCCATGGCAGGTAGGTGTGCCACACAGATCCATGGCAGGTAGGTGTGTCACACAGATCCATGGTAGCTAGGTGTGCCACACAGATCCATGGCAGGTAGAAAGCCATGCTGTCATTCTTTATAGATGCTCAATGAATGTATCAAGATGTCGATACTGACTGGGTTGGTGTATAGAGTCCGCTGAAGATAACTTATCATATGTGTCTGATTTGTACGTAATACAGGGTATTCTAACCAGGATCTTCACGGGTCGGTATGAGTTGCGGATGGGAAATTGAGGTTATAAGCTGTGGATGGTGAGTTTAGGATGGTGAGTTGAGGATCGTGAGTGGAGTCTAATGTGGGCTGTATTTGGTTCCAGAAAGAGATGGCATCTGTTCCCACCCTCCTCCACAGAGGCTCTGTATCCAACACGTCTGCCCTATGAAGAGTCTAGTGTCTTCAGCGAGGTGAATGTTGGACAGCCTGATCTCAGTAAACATCCCCTGTTCAAGGTATTCAGCATCCACCACACAAATCATAAAATATTGTGCTTCTTGTTACACACCAGCTAAATGAAGTGATCAAGTTAGTTGATCATAGTACAATACAAGGGTCATTCGAAAAGTTTGCTGCATCATAGATATTGCTATACGTAATGTGAGGTCACAACACGTGTATGAAGACATAACCCAAAGTTAGACTCGTAACTGAATCTGATTTTGGTGACTGGAGAATCTCAGTGGTGAGAGAGTCTGCAGAGAAAGAGAAAACTGAGCCATGTTTAAGTAAGAAACAAAATAAAAGAATTGGTTCTCAGACAAAGGGTTTTGAAACTATAGTGTGCGTGGGCGGTTTTTTTTTTCTTCTAGTTGTTCAAACTAGTATGTAACCAAATAGACAGTTGTGTGTCCAAATATAATGAACAACAAAAGTTCCTGTGACACCAATTTTTTAGTGTATTTTTCAAACAAGTAAAGTTTGGTTTTCAATATTGTAGTACATGTGTGGAATCAAGTCACAAACACGCAACTGCTACAGAAAAGCATGCATTCCATGCAAACATTGACTTTTATGCAAGCCCCATGCATTTCACTACCCAAGAATGGGTATAAAAACATGTTCGTTTACGGGATTCCATATGCATTGTTTAGCATCGTGCTGACAACAACCACTCAGAAAAACAACAAAATAACGCAATTATTCAACATTTCAAAATGCCACGCCTGTCCGAAAATGAGAGTCTGCGAACCATTGGTATGCTTGAAGCAGGAGCGTTGCAACTGCAAGACAATTTAACGTCCACAGAAACACCATTTGGTGTTTGTGGCAACGTTGGCAACAGACGAATGCAGTCAGAGACCATCCTCGGAGTGGCAGGTCATAGCTGCCAGGACCGGCTGCTAATGAATTCAAATCAGAGATTGGCCTGGATTTTTATCCTGGATTAGTTAACACTACACCTATGTTTGTGGATCTGGATACGTTTTCAAAATTTAGAATTGGCAGATCAATGAACAAGAGAAAGAGTGTCCGAGACTTTCTCCTCCCTTCCAGGAGAGCCAAGCTGTGGTGGTGACGCTGGAGCCAGGCCAGGTGCTGTATGTGCCCCGCCACTGGTGGCACTACGTGGAGTGTCTGCACACCGCCATCAGCATCAACACCTGGGTGGACGTGGTAAGTTTGTCACAAGCTTGCCGTAAGAGGCGACTATGCTTGTCGTAAGAGGCCACATTGCTTGTCGTAAGAGGCGACCATGCTTTTAGTAAGTGGTGACTATGCTTGTCGTAAGAGGCGACATTGCTTGTCATAAGAGGCGACCATGCTTTTAGTAAGTGGTGACTATGCTTGTCGTAAGAGGCGACTATGCTTGTCGTAAGAGGCGACCATGCTTTTAGTAAGTGGCGACTATGCTAGTCGTAAGAGGCGACTATACTTGTTGTAAGAGGCGACAATGCTTGTAAGAGGCATCCATGATTGTCGTAAGTGGCGACATTGCTTGTGGTAAGAGGCGACATTGCTTGTGGTAAGAAGCAACCATGCTTCTTGTAAGAGGTGACAATAATGGTCATAGTAACAGGCGAGCATGCTTGTCATAAGAGGCGAGCATGCTTGTCGTAAGAGGCGACCATGCTTGTCATAAGAGGTGACAATGCTTGCTGTAAGAGGCAACCATGCTTGAAGTAAGTGGCAACCATGCTTGTCGTAAGAGGTGACCATGCTTGTCATAAGAGGCGACCATGCTTATCGTAAGAGGCAACCATGCTTGTTGTAAGTGGCAACCATGCTTGTCGTAAGAGGTGACCATGCTTGTCATAAGAGGCGACCATGCTTATCGTAAGAGGCAACCATGCTTGTTGTAAGTGGCAACCATGCTTGTTGTAAGAGGTGACTATGCTTGTCATAAGAGGCGACCATGCTTGTCGTAAGAGGTGACATTGCTTGTCGTAAGAGGCAACTATGCTTGTCGTAAGAGGCGACCATGCTTGTCATAAGAGGCGACCATGCTTTTAGGAAGAGGCGACAATGCTTGTCGTAAGAGGCGACTATGCATGTCGTAAGAGGCGACCATGCTTGTCATAGGCGACCATGCTTGTCATAAGAGGCAACCTTGCTTGTCATAAGAGGCGACTCATGGGATCAGGTGGTCAGACTTTGCTGATGCGTTGATCAACATCTGGGTGGACATGGTAACACATGGTAACAAAGTATTAAGGACAACATGTCATGAAATGTAGAGAAGTTAATACTATTGCTGTAAGCATACAGAAAGTGTACATGTTCAGAACCTCTTACTGGAGGCACAGAGCTCATCTTTTCTAGCCAAATGATGATGAAAGTCGCCTGAGCGAGTCTGTGACCCGAGCCACCATTTCGTGTCTTGTCAACAGTGACGTGGGAGCCTATCTGGAACACTGGATTAACCCTGGCGAGGTGAGCTCACAATCATTGTGTAACACAAAACCTTGATCACATCTCTGGAGCCTGTGAAGTTAAAACTTTGCAAAGATGATTCCAGTTATGGTGTCTTCAACAAATGCGTCAGATTTCTTGTCTGATTTTAAACATTGCGGTCAGTTTCAATATTGAACATTGTCCATGTTAGCCTATGTTTATGTCCTCATCCATTGTTTGTCCATCTGTCAGTTTTATTGTCAGCACCGAAATTTTAAATCTGTTCTTCTCATCACAATGCAAGATCTGCTGAATGTCACATATCCCATTGTGTGTATGTTTTTTACTTATATTTATCAAAAACGACTTTGAAAACAATAACTCTCTGTCTAAAGGTGAGCTGCTGTACCTGTTTAATTATGTTTGTGATTCCAGCAATGGTTTCTCTCAGAACTGCTCACAATATTCTGAGGCGCGTGAAGATCCGGGGTAGAACAGGTCTTCAGCAACCCATGTTTTCCATAAAAGACGACTTTGCTTGTCGTAAGAGGCGACTAACGTGATCAGGTGGTCAGGCTCGATGACTTGGTTGATGCATGTCATCGATCCCAATTGCGTGGATCGATGCTCATGTTGTCAATCACTGGATTGTCTTGTCCTTGTCTGATTACTTACAGACCGCTGTCATATAGCTGGAATATTGCTGAGTGCAGCGTTAAAAAACATACAAACAAACAAACATTATTCGGAATAAATTTTAGACATGAAACCTTTTTATGATCACCTTTATGATCTGATGCAAATTTTCTACAACAATTCAGGTGAGCTACAGAGCCTTGTCTCTCTATACATGTGGTCTTGGTTTGACAGAAGGTAATAATACAGTGATATGAATGTTTTGTTCACAGCAAATAATGCCGATGGATGTTAACCTGACATATGTGGAACGATGCCTCCACTCACAAGCAGACAGGTCTGTTATTGACAACCTGGAAGCCAATGGGATTGCTTCTGAAGACAATTTGCAGAAATTCCTGCAGCATTTCAAGACAAAACAGTTTGATATGGTACATGCACCATGGCACATCCCTGGTGGGGCCTCTATAGTGAAGATGAGGCAGCACAACAGGGACACCTGCCTTCACGACCAGGCCAGGGTTAGAGACCTGAAGAGACACAAAATGTCTGTTAATCAGTCAGAGGTTGAGATGAATAACCTTAAAAGAAAAAAAACAAATGAGAAATGTATAGATGAAATACCTGGTGTTGTTCATAAGGAAAATATAGATGATAGAAGCCTGGATGACTGGAAGAAGGCTAGACTTGCTTCAGGGCCTCTGTGTGAATGTAAGGACAGTGTTCAATCAACATGTGGTATATTTGCCTTACAGACCAGTTGTTTTGACACGTATTTCAACCTTGTGCATGAATCAAGGACCAAGGTGATAGATAGTGTGGGTGGCTTGGAGGTAGGAGACATTCAGGACATGGTTGGGATAGGGGATGAGGACACTGTAAGCCTTTTGATGGGACATCAATCAGAGGGTGACACCAGTGCATCTGTGCGTGCCACACACCAGACAGAGGGTGACACCACTGCTTCTGTGCGTGCCACACACCAGACAGAGGGTGACACCAGTGCGTCTTTGTCTGCCACACACCAGACAGAGGGTGACGCCAGTGCGTCTTTGTCTGCCACACACCAGACAGAGGTTGACACCAGTGCGTCTGTGCAGGACTCAGCAGAAACCCAAGAGTCAGAATCAGTGGATCATGAAACAGTGGATCATGAAACAGTGGATCTTTCAACTATGAAAGAAATCTTCTTTAGGAGTCTTCTTCATCCGAGAGTGATGAAGGCATTTGAAGAAGAACTTACTAAAAATTATAAGTCACTGATGAAATAAAGTCAGTTCTACTCTGCTCAAGGTGCTTTGTTTTGTTTTTTAGTCATCTACATTACTTCTATATGGTGGATACCTGTAATAATCGGATGGTCAGACTTGGTTGATGCATGTCATTGTATCCCAATTATGTAGATTGATACTCATGATGTCAATCACTGAATGGTCTGGTCCAAACTCGACTATTTACAGACCCCCCTCGTCTAGTTGGAATATTGCTAAGTGCAGCGTTAAACAACAAACAAACAAACAAACAAACAAACCTCATGTTCCTGGATTCGCACACTGTAAGAGATGTACATTACTAAAAGCCATCTGAAACATATTCACTCACTTTCAACAGTATTCCAGTTAAATCACAGGGTGTCAGCTTAATGTGGGAGGAAAGTGATGCAGGTCTCAGAAGTTTCCACGACCGGGGGTATGGTGTTGACAAACTTAGATAATTACTTAGTAATAGTGGCGAACCGGGATTCCAATCCACAACCATAGATTTCTGGCGTGCCCAAGGGACGCAACTCTGCGCTGCATCCATGCCCCCTCAGAGTCTGTGTACTGTGTGTGAGTGGAGTGTAAATTCCACGCTAAATAGCGGCATGGTATCTCAGTTGGCTAGTTATATATATATATATATATATACTACTCAAAAGAAGTTAAAGAACACCCAATTCTTCCATATTACTATATTTATTCTGTCATGACATGTTGGGTAGCCTAGTGGTTAAAGCGTTCGCTCGTCGCACAGAAGACCTGGGTTCGATTCCCGACATGGGTACAATGTGTGAAGCCCATTTCTGGTATCCCCCGCCGTGATATTGCTGGAATATTTCTAAAAGCGGCATAAACCACACTCACTCAATTATTGCATGTCATTAACTATAGTAATATGAAAGAATCGATGTTCTTATACTTCTTCTGAGTAATATATACAAGTGATATAATCTTGAATGCCACGTTAAACCCATTTCACCTTACAAACGTTATTTTTAATGTTACAGTCATATGGTATAATGGTAGTAAAACACTTTATCATCGCTATAGCTTAACATGGTCGATAACGTTTAGTTTAAACTCACTGCTACTCTATAACAAAACTAGCGGACTTATCCCTTTGCAAAACTGTATAAGTATAGGAGAAACCATTTCTCCTCGGGATTACCAGCGATTGTAAACCCTGACATGAGGTAAGTCACTGAATGTCAGGGTCTACAATCGCTGGTAATCCCGAGGAGAAATGGTTTGTTCAACTTATAAACCGACTCATCGCATAGACAACGTTTTTAATTAAATAACTGTACTAAAAACTCTCAAATGTATACCCTGTATCGGAGATGAAATATCGCCTGCAGTCGTTAACTCGGTTCAATGAAACCGGTGACCTCAGCACGTGGGTTTCGCAACGGTGCGAAATCTGCACGTGCGTCTCGCTATGGCACGAAATCTGCACGTGCGTCTCGTAGGCTGTTCGTAGTTTTTGTTCTATCAAGGGTTTACAATGATTGTAAGCCCTCCTGCGAGGTGTTACCACAATTTCAAAAACTCCATATCGAGTTACACAAACAGTCAGTAGGTTTATAAGGAAAACTAATGTATTTAACGTGTATTATGATTACATAAGACAACATAATGAATGATATGACTAAACATGTATTGACTGCAATGTTGAGAGACGACTTGCCCTACTCCGGTCTACACCTCTGAGATATTCAGTCCATGGTACATGACATCACAAAATAAATATTGTGCAAGTGCTTCCGTGTGATTTGATTGGCTAACCACGCATATTTTTTTGTATAAACCGAAAACCTTACGGACTACGGATTGGCTGGTTATAGAATGGGCGGAGCCTGTTTTTTTGCGTTAATGATTAAATAAATTGTTGACGGATTTAATTTTAAAATTTGACGTTTATACCTCCATAAACGCAAAAAAATATGAAGTAGATTCTTAAGTATATCGTAAAGAGAAGAAATAGCCAATCCCTCGTTAGCCATAATTGAAGAAGTGTGTAGGCTTTAGACATACATGCTCGCACACCACCTGCGGCCATTCTTCAACACGAAAAAACTCATCAAGTATAATGAAATATACATTCTCTGGAATGTTGCTATCGGCATACTAAGTGTTGATGGGTTGTTGTGTGTGCTTTGTGGTGGGTGTTCATGTTGGAAGCACTCCTGATAGCAGACAACACCCTCCTCGGAGTCACTTAAGGAAGGGACTTCACTTAGGCGCTGATCTGGCCCCCAGGTATGCTACATTGGGATGGGACAAGAGGATTTACTGTGGGGCAAGCTGTCAATCATCACACGGATTCTATTAAATGCTGACTGTATCTATTATAGTTATTGTCTTGACGCCAAAGACATACCCAATGAACTCCAACCCTTCAAATAACAAAGTTCGTTTTGCAAGAAATATTATTTCATACGATCAATGATTTTAAATGACTTGTAATATTTGTTATGGAAGTTTATTGGATATAATATCTGTTAACGAAATGTTCCTATAAAACATTACACATTATGAGTGATCATGCAGTTGTTACTATCAATTTAAACTGACTCGTGATATAGTTTCTTGGGAATAATGACACCTTTAATGTGTTTTAGCCTTTAAAAAACAATAAGAACAAATGACACGTTTGATCAACCGTATATGTAATAATAATACTATACACCTGAAATACAATGAAAACACCACTCTCTTGGTAAGGTAGCGAGTTGCCACTGTGCCAGAATAACACAATGGACCCCGAGTCAGCGGCTTAGGCGAAATAAAAAAAACCTGTACACCTATTGCCGGGCACAGCAACATATGAAACTGTCGTTTTAAGAGCATACTTTATTCGATTTCTCACGAAATACACGTGTTTTTGTTTACAAAGTGAAATACTCATATTGAAATACACAAACAAAACTTTATTTTCTGATGACATGTTTTGTAATTTTTCCATGGTAATAGTTGCTTGGCAACCCTTTGTCTGGTTACTCTGTTTCTTTGCCGACTTTGTATTTTTTAGCTGGGATCACCTGACGAAACACCACTTTCTTTCCCTAGCATATTAGCAAGTATCCTGTAACGTTTTAGAAATGAGAGCAATGTCACTTGTAGATATTAATTTCGCGCAAGCTGATGTACCGGGGTCTATTGTGTTTAATGCTGGCACAGTGGCAACTCACTTCCTTACCGAATCCCAAATTCTCGTCACACAAAGGGTTCATTTTCAGGAGGCGGTCATTATTAATCTGTAACATATGACAGTATTAAATACCCGGCGTCAAATAGAGGCCTGGCTTCTATTTTTTGGACAGAGCATATGACACGGCGTCAATTAGAGGCTGGCGTCTTATAGAAGAAATTCAGTTTGTATGTAATTATGAAAGAACACGTTTTTTCTTCGGAAATGTTATTATTATTCCTAAGGATAGGAAATAAACGTCATTTAGGCCACACTTTCATATATCTTTGGATAAAAAAAATTCGAAACGTTTACTTCAAAATTTGATAGTCTCTTTTCTCTATTATATAATATAACACACTAGAAGCCTATGATTGTGGGTTCGAATCCCGGTTCGCCCCGATTATGTTTCTAGGTTTGTCAACCCCATACCCGTGCTCGTGGGTTTCACCGAAGTGGTGACCGTTGAGACCTGCATCACTTGGGGCTTTCCTCTGACATTCAACTGACACGCCGCGATATAACGGGAATACTGTTAAAAGCGGCGTTAAACCCAACTAACTCACTCACTCTCTAAAATTATATTGAGAAGTATAGAAATAATTATGTTATACGTATTTTGGGGACAAGCTGTTTAAGACATTTTTCAAAACGAAAAGTAAATTTCTGTGCTGTCAGAGTGTTTTAGTTTGAATTTGTTAAAAATGAAACAAACCGCGACTTTCTGGATGTGTATTTGTTATAGTGTCCGGACTTTCCGCAGTAAATAATGAACATTTTTATTTTATCATAGTACGCATGTCTTGATTGAAAGAGGACTGGGTAACCCCGGGACGTGTTCAAGCCGACAAGGAACACAAATATGGGAAAACAATTATCACGTCAAACAAATCAGGGAAAAAAATAAGTATTTTTATTGACAAATCATCAAAACGAAAGAATGTGTTACTCACATGAAACTATCATATTACAACCACTTCAGCTGTCATCTGGCTTTTAATACGTCTATTTTGTTTATAATCCCCTGTCTCGGCAGATGCTTTCCCACCGGACAACGATCTTCAATGCTGGGTATGTATTCGTCAGAATAGTGCTGATTTGTAGCCGGGCTGTTTACACGTGCTAACCTATAGACGTAGTCTATACGGGGGGATATACAACAGATAAACACCATTGTTATATCACATCGCGGGGATTTCTCACTGATAGGCAGAGGGGACGAATACAGAGAGTAAACTGTCATGTGTGCTCTGAACTGTTTCCGACCCTTCAATTGTACTTAAGGCGACAAATGATACTGAATAAAACTGATGCTTCTAGGAAACCCCGGGTGGCCGAGCGGTCTCAGGCGTCTGGTCTGGTGACGACCAGAGATATGGTCAATAGGTCCATTCCATTCTTTACGGGCCAGTGTTATATATCTGGAATATTACAACGATGTAAAACAACATCCACCCGAGTACTCCTAGTGAATCGTAAGAGCGAGGTGTTTATGGCTAAAAAAGGTTTTCGTGGTAATTAAATCTGTTCCTGGTGACAAAATCATTTTTTTTCAAATAGGCTTGAGACATTGTACCCATGTGGGGAATTGAACCCGGGTCTTCGGCGCGACAAGCGGACGCGGTATCCACTAGGCTATCCCTCCGCCATTTGATAATGAAGGTGATTTTCCGACGAAATAGTGACCATGTCTACTGAGTAGTGAGTAGGATTTCATTCCGCGCTTAGTACTGTCCGAAGGGTGTGAGCTGTGGTGAGGGTGTTGTGGTGTGTTTTGTTTGTCTATTGTTTAACTCAGCAATATTTCAGCAATAGGAGGGCGATCTGTAAATAATCGA